GAGAGAGAGAGAGAGAGGGAGAGAGAGAGAGAGAGAGGGAGAGAGAAAGAGAGAGAGAGAGAGAGGGAGAGAGAGAGAGCTCTACAGCACTTCACACACACACACACACACACGCACACAGAAACAGACACGCAGTTAGACACACACACTAACAGACAGACAGACAGTCAGTAGGACACACAGACAGACAGACAGTCAGACACACAGACTAACAGACACGCAGTCAAGAACTGGAGTGTCAAACACAGACACACAGACAGACGCACACTAACAGACACACAGTCAGACACTCAGACAGACAGACAGACACACAGACAAGCGTCGCGCCACATGCACACGCAGACACAGACAGACAGACACATACACACACAGATACAGACAGACAGACACATACACACACAGATAGACAGACAGACACAGACAGACAGACAGAATGACAAGTGTCGTGCCACATGCACACACAGACAGACAGAGACAGACAGACAGACAGACAGACACAGACACACAGACAAGCGTCGCGCCACACGCACACACACACACAGACGGTCAATTTTGGCACAGGGGGTCACTATTCACTACCAGAAGCAGTCGGTGCTACGTTCTCTAGGCAGACACAGACAGGAGGGCGCGGCGCCACCACGGCAGGACCCCCACCACGGCAGGACCCCCACCACGGCAGGACCGCCACCACGGCAGGACCGCCACCTCACATGTGATGGAAGGAACAAAAAAAAACAAAAATTCTTGTAACAAAACAAAACAAAGCCTCACATCTTTTTTTTTTATGTTATACTTGAAGGGGGGAACTGAACAAATCCAGTATTTATATCACTATTTATAATATTTATAATAATGATGATGATAAAAATAAATATTTATTAACAAATGGCTCGCTATGCCTTTCACACCTCCAAGGAAATTTACAAGTCAGTGATGTTAAGATTTCTTATTCTTTTTGCTATTGAATTCCAAGCGTTCTAGCCTCTTCCACAGCTCCTCGCGGTCTTTCTCCTTCTTCTTTTCCCTGCGGCACAGAAAAACAGATGAAAACATTTCTGTGTCAGTTCACATAGTTCAATAGAACACATTTCTTTGTTGGTTCAATAGAACACATTTGGTTGTAGGTTCAATCAGTTTTTAGTTTTAGTAGCGGTTTTACGGCGCTGGCAACTGCATAAGGTCATGTGAGCGCCAGAAGATTAGAGGCGTTACAAGAGAGTAACAAACATAAAAAAGAAAAAGGGGAGATAAGGACGATAGATGTTTGATAGGAAAGAAGGAGCAAACCACACCAGAGCACCCGCCAACCACCCATGATCAATCAGTGCTTCCAACAAGCCCTTGAATAAGTGGAATATTTTGTGTGCTCATCGATGGACATTTGGGAGTGTGCTCGATGAAGAGACTGACAACATCTCATGACACCTTTCTTCACCTACGCTTTGTTCAGTTTTAGTTTTAGTAAGTGTTTTACAGCACTTGCAACACAATTAGGTCATATATGTGTCCAAGATTAGAGGTGTTACGAGAGAGCAACAAACATTTTAAAAAAGGAGGGGAGATAAGGACAATAGATTTTTTATAGGAAAGCTATGAGTTCTAAATGTCAGATGACACAGTTATGAGTTCTAAATGTCAGATGACACAGTTATGAGTTCTAAATGTCAGATGACACAGCTATGTGTTCTATGTGTCAGATGACACAGCTATGAGTTCTAAATGTCAGACGACACAGCTATGTGTTCTATATGTCAGACGACACAGCTATGTGTTCTAAATGTCAGATGACACAGCTATGAGTTCTATATGTCAGACGACACAGCTATGAGTTCTAAATGTCAGATGACACAGCTATGTGTTCTATATGTCAGATGACACAGCTATGAGTTCTGTATGTCAGATGACACAGCTATGTGTTCTATATGTCAGATGACACAGCTGTGTTCTATATGTCAAATGACACAGCTGTGTTCTATATGTCAGATGACACAGCTATGTGTTCTATATGTCAGACGACACAGCTATGTGTTCTATATGTCAGATGACACAGCTATGTGTTCTATATGTCAGACGACACAGCTATGTGTTTTATATGTCAGACGACACAGCTATGTGTTCTGTATGTCAGATGACACAGCTATGTGTTCTATATGTCAAATGACACAGCCATGTGTTCTATATGTCAAACATACATGTCAGATGACACAGCTATGTGTTCTATATGTCAGACATGTGTCAGATGACACAGCTATGTGTTCTATATG